CCTGCCGCAGCCCCTGTGCCCGTCCGGGGCAGAGCCAGCGCCGCGGCTGGCGGGGCCTCCCGCGGGGGGGACCGAGCGCACGCTGCGCTCCTCTCGTCCCCTGAACCGTGCGCTGAACGCGAACTGGGGCGAGCTGCCGCCTCCATTTTTCTAAAGGCGATCAGTTCCGATTCTGATGGGTCCTGGTCAAAGCCTGCTGTTTCTGGTGCTGGGCTTCTCGGCTCATTTCTGAAAACACTTGTTTTGCTGTGTTGCTGGCAACAAGCTATTAAAAATGAAAAAATCATTAGCCCTGTTTCCTTTTCACAGTTTCTAACGTGATAATTTTATTTCTGTTTCTTGGAAACTTGCACAGAAATCCACAGGAGCAGCAGTCTTAACCAGTTCTTTAAGTAACTTCAAGTTACAGTCTTGGTTAAGATTTCAGTGACTGCAGCAAAAACTAAACTATAATCTTGTCAAAAGTTTCTTTGCAGATCATGTTTGAAGCATACAGTTTGGGCAGCATTGGTATGAACGTACTGCATAGCATTATTGAAACAGGTTTTAAGGGGGTTGGTTTGTTCTTTAAGGCGGTGCTTTGGAAAGACTTCTTAAAAGGTTTAAGATACTGCATTCTGCCAGTAAAGTCTTTAGATTTTATCCTGGGATGCAATTAAAGATATTTTTACCTTTAACTTCTTAGTAAAACTCTACGGAAAACTTCTACCTGTGCAGAAGCTATCCAAAAGGCAACAGAGCTGTATGATATGCTTGGAACAGCCTTAATATTTAAAAACTTGATTGGAACAGCACAAGAGTAAAGCTCATGATCTCTTATCAGTGCCTCAGATGAAGCCTTTTTGCTCAAGTTACTCGGATCCTCAGGCGTGTTTTGCTGTGGATTGCTTAGTTCTGGCAAGCATTCTCTTTAGTCCTTTGAGGAGTCCAATACACAGGGAGTGTTACAATTTAAACTGTGGCTTTACCCAGTTTGTATCACTGTGTTTCTTAAACTGTGGCTGGCTTTACCCAGTTTGTATCACTGTGTTTCTTAAACACAAGACCATGTGATCTGTATATGATGGGTCTTTACAATGTAGACTTTGATTCTTTATATAGTAGACAGAAAGGTTGTTTTCATAAAACTTGCACTTCATGCTTACTGATGTGTGCCAAACAACTTCTTTCTTTAACTTCTTCATGTGCTTTTTGCATACGTTCACTGACAATGCATAATGAGGTGGAAGTGAAATGCTTTAAACACACAGATAGGAAATAGTGATGTGAAAAGAGCACCTGTGGCCTCAGAAGAACAAGACAGCAAGTACAGAAAGCGAATTTCTGTCCTCTGCCTCTTTCCATTCTAATCAGAAGAAAGTAGTTATGTGAACAAGGGAACAAACAGGACACCCTAGTCTCTAAATAAAAAAACAATGGTGTTTTGTGGAGTTCTTTATTTAAGAATAAAGTGAAGTAACATAGCTAAAATGTTGTAGGGTTTTATTCAAATAGAGACTGAAAACTACTACAGTGACTCTTTGCTTTAGAGAGCATGACTGACACTTGTTTTCCTTAGTACAGAGTCTTAGATTTTCAACAAATTAAGCTACAGTTACTGTGGCTATTTCTAATAATAAAGCCAATAACAAAAGTTTAGTAGTCTAATAAGCTCTGCAGGTTAAAATTTAGATTTCCCCTTAAATGTTAACTTTGTAATGCATGCTGTAAGACAAGTATCTTATTCTTCTTTGGACTCCTTCATCTAGATACATGATGAACTTAGATTGAGTTACTCTGGCTGAAGGCCACGAGCTGAGCTGAAGTAACTATGTGGTAGTCTAAGCCAAACCCAGCTGCAGGATAAAATGGGTGAGATAAACTTAGTGAAGGTGGTTCAAGGTAGCACACAGTGTCATAACTGAAGTATAAAAGTGTGTACATGGTCACCTATTGCAGCTCAGCTGCAAGATAACAGCCTAGCGACATTATGTAACTTAGTTGTATCCAATTGTGTATTTGTGGGTTTCTTTTAAAATGTGCTCTTTAAAATCTGCTCAAAGGTTACTCTGTAAATGGTGACACATTTTCGCTTAGTCCAGTTTCTCAGTGAGGTGAATGAAGTGAGACTTGGAAGAGAAAGGAATTTTTAATAGTACTTTTAAAACATTGGGATTACTTTTAAGATACAAAAAACCTTATGTTCAACCCTTTATAGAATGAAAATTTCACTAAGGTCAACATCCAGCCCACTGAAGCCCAGTATTAAGATAGCAAATCAACTGAAGGCTTGAAAGCTATCTGTAAACTCAAAAAAGGTAGAAATTTTCTGTGTCTGACAAAACTGCCTATTTGTAATTCATTGCAATCAACTTTAAAAGCATGTAATTTTAGGTTTTGTGATATATTTAAATATGTATCTGTGCCATTTGGCTCAAGTGTAATCCGTCATTGTTGTGCTGTCTTGCAGATAACTTCCTTTTTAGTGATGAAATCATAGCCAATGGTTTTCACTCCTGTGATAGTGATGAAGATGACAGAGCTTCACATGCAAGTTCTAGTGATTGGACCCCAAGACCACGTATAGGTAGAAGCTTGTATAACGTTCTTAGATGCTGTTTGCCTTTGAACAGTTACTTAATTCTTCCCAGTCCTCAAATTATTTCTTCCATTGCAAAAAAATTGCCAGTTACTGCTTTTGAGCAGCTTAGAGTTGTTGACTGTATTCTGTATGTTATTTCAGGAGTTTAAAAATGAATGTCTTTAAACTTGCTGTATTTTGATTAAAATTGTCAATGTCTTTTTTGCGTAGAAATCCTGATCCATATTAAAAGCATACACACAGACTCGCTAAACAGAACAGACTTATGGTATATTTCTAGCCTATTTACTTAGTATTAATTCTTTAAGGAACAAGAAGTTGATTCTTGTATGATTTTAGCCAATCTGTAGGGCTCACTGTCCTAAGTATTGCAAGCATTAGCCTGCATATATATTGCATATTATCAACGGATAAGTTAAGCATGGCAGTTAGGAACTCAATAGAAAGTTCTCACCTCACACAGAGGCAAGGTAACTGCTAAGGTCACTGATGATTGTGAGAGACGGGGGCTTCCAGGGTGCAGTGGGGCTGGGACTTGAGGTCTTTTATTTTACACAGCCGTGGTAATACCACAGTGTTCAACTTGCCAGTACTGATAAGAACAGCAGCAAGAAAACATATTTTGATAGCACAGTATTCCACTTAAAATCTGCCCATATGTTGTCTTTGCTGATCCCTCATTACAGGAACATTGTTGGAACCTTTTGGGTAAATATGTATAACAGTTGTTTTCTTTATATGTCCTGTAACTAGCCTTAGAGATAGCTATTTGGGTCCTCTTAGTTAAGCTCCTGAAGATTTACCTATATTTCTTTTAGCACTCGAATCTCGAGTGTTTCTGGAAGAATTGATTTTATGGCTTTAGGAGATCATGTCAGAATTCGTTAGTGTTAGACAACTAAATGAACAAAAATCCACAGATTGGTGGGCCCTATTTGTCCCTTTAGAGTGATGTTTTATAATATGACTAGAAAGTATATGTTTGTTTGTTTGCTGTCTCTTCAACTTATTACTGTAAATACTTTACAAAATGTTGGAAAAATACAAGTGAAGCCATAAAATGGAGATACATTGTGAAAATCTTGTTGCTAAATAAGCACACCTCTAAGAGCCATCAAGTTTGCTATGAACTGGGATTTCTACTTTGACTAACTTTCTATGAAATCCTTAATGGGTTAACATAAAATAATAATAATAAATAAGTAAAAACCGAAGCTGTACAGTCATTTCAGAATTTAGACCAAAACATACATGGGTTTGGATAAACAAAGTGTTAAACAGGAATAATAAAAATGTAGTACCAAGCATTAATAAATGGGACAATGATCATAATAATCTGAAATACTTGACTCAATTTTAAATATTTATATTTTTTAATTTTCTTAGGTCCCTACACTTTTGTTCAGCAGCACCTCATGTTAGGTACAGACCCACGGACAATTCTGAAAGACCTGCTACCAGAAACAATCCCTCCACCAGAACTGGATGATATGACACTGTGGCAAATTGTTATAAACATTCTTTCAGAACCACCAAAAAGAAAAAAACGAAAAGATATTAATACTATTGATGATGCTGTGAAACTTTTACAAGAATGCAAAAAAATAATGGTCTTGACTGGAGCTGGGGTACGTATTGCTGAAATGACAGTGAGAGAATATATAAACAGTTCATTAAATACTTACCCAGTGCTTTACAGCATGCAGGTGATGTGATCCTGGCAATGTTTGTAATCAAATAATCATGCTGTCCTCTAGAACAATGCACACTGCAGGGCTGGAGCTTAAGTTGGAAATTACAAGATCTCTTTTCTTATGTTTAATAATGTTTAAACTCTCAAACAGTTGCTTCCATGCAAAATAGTTATGGAATAAGCTCATGTCTACCTGTTGCAGAACATTTTCTATCCAAGTCATTTTTTCATTTGAAACAAATGTAATGATTTTTTTAAACAAAATGTCAGTGGATCTCTTAAAATACCTGATGGAGCTAGAGGGACTAGAAGAATAGGACTCAAAAAGAAAAAAAGTGGGGAGGGGATGGAGGATTATGAGGAGAGTTTGATTAGATTTCGGTAGACTGAATTTTAGTTTTAACATGTGCTGCTCTGTGATGGTAATAAGATTACTCACTGTTTTACTAAAGAACATTTTAAAACTGTTGTACATTTGCAGCTCTGTACCCATGTAGCAGCTCATGATACAGAAGTCAATCACTTTTTGCTTCTGTTGCTCACACATAGAGGGTGTGACATCATTCAGAAAAGTTGAATAATTCAAATCAGCTTGTCAGAAAAGCACTGCTACTTCTATTACTCCATCTTGCTCTTTCTAGAATGGCTATCATACACCTGTTTCTCCTCCTCTTCCCACAGTGTTTTGGGGCACTCTGAGACAGTAAATTTTAGTCTTTATTGACCACTACAATGCTTTCATAAACAATCTTTATCAAAAAGGATTTATTAATCAAAAGTAAGAATCTATTCTGTTACTGCGTTAGCATGTAAAAAAGAAATAAAAATCAACCACCTTGTCCAAGCCTAAGTTGGCAGATCAATGAACACTTACTAATTAAATTTAATGCAACAGTATTTTAAATTTTTGTTCACTTCTTATAAAATTTACAGTAGTAAAAGTAAGTTCTGGTGTCCTGTTACTGCCTGCATGGATTGTACTAAAGGGCTTTTTTGTCCAGTTGTCAAACTTTGTTTCTGTGCTGTTTCTCCTGCTTGTGATTTGGGAATTATTATATTGGTCCAAAAAAAAAAAAGGGGGGGGAGAAAAAAAAAAGAAAAATAAATACAGAAAACCCAGACTGGTTTTGTTCTTAATGTCTCCGAGCAATGTCACCATACAGAAATGTGGTTTCTCAAAAGTTTGTATCATAGCAACTCTTTATAGCCAAATATGTAGTTTCACTTATTTCAGATTGCAAAAATATATTTCAGGTGTCTGTGTCTTGTGGAATACCTGACTTTAGATCAAGAGATGGCATCTATGCACGCCTTGCTGTAGACTTCCCAGACCTTCCAGATCCTCAAGCAATGTTTGATATAGAATACTTCAGAAAGGATCCCAGGCCATTTTTTAAGTTCGCAAAGGTATGGTTTTCCAACAGTTCTTGTCTTGGTCACTAAGAGAGGTAACAGTAATAAAATGCATAAATCAGATCTAAAACTGGGCTGTTAACAGAATGGTATCTTTGTCTTTTTTTATAAACAAGATAGAAAAATATGCTGCTGTATTGAATTTACTTTAAGGAGAGACCTCATTGAGTGGGATAACTCCTCTCTCCTTGGCAGGTCTTTGCCACGTATCAATTTTGTATCTTCAGTGTTACTTCAGTCGTTGTGTGCAACCACATACTAGCCTTATTAGAAATATTTAGCAACATTCCTTTTTTTTTTTGGCTTATTTTGACTGTTCTTGTTATAAGTGCATTTGATATATACAACCATTCTAGATGGTGTCTCTAATTTCAGGGAGGTTAAATAAAGACTTGTAGTTATTTGATCAAACATCAATGATCTTAACTGCTGTTACTTTCTCTGAAAAATGAAAGAATATGAGAAACTTTTGGCCAGCACATGAGTAATGGGGAAAGCTACATCTGAATTTGATATGCCATGGCATGCTCTTCAGTGCCATACAATACATGCATATTTTATCACTGTATTTACAGTAAAGACTAAAGCAGTTTAATGCACTAATAAGTTTGTTCTTGTTTCAGGTTTTGGTATAGCTGTCACAGGGATCTGTACATCTTAGGGAATTAAAGCCTTTTGGCAGGGACTGCGTTCACTTATAGGGAGAACGCAGCAGGTTTCTGAACAGTGTTAGTGACATGAAAGTTTACAAAGCAGGGAGTACATCTCAGAGACAACGAGGAATTGTAGAAGCTGTAGACATGTAGAAACAAAAAAAATAATTGCATTTAGTCTAGAATTTCCTTGGAACAAAACAATCAAAACCAAAATATTGTAAGAATTACTATAGGACCAGTAAGGACTTGTGAAAATCAATCACTACTAATTGTGCTCACTCTTTCTTCCCTTTGCTCACAATTGATACTACTGCTCTGTTGTGTTATAAAGATCAGAAAGGAAAAATCAATACATTCTTCAGCTGCTTGGCTTTCTCTGAAAGCCTCCTATCCAGATACAGACATATTTTGATGCTCATTACTATACTCAGTTTCTTGGGTTTTTAATATAAAAAACCAAAACCAACAAAAAAACCCCAGCAAACAAAACCAACCAACCAACCAACCACAAAAAAAACACCCCTACTTACTCGAAGCCTGTCTATACAAAGGTTTTACCACAATAGTCCAAATTCAATTTGGCCGATACTTTTTTACTAACATAATTTCTCCTCCTTCTCCTTTTCTGTCCCATCAGCGCAGCTAGAATATTGATTCCTTATTCCATGAAATCTTAAGTTACTTTAATTCTGTAGGAACAAAGACTGGCCAAATAAATTTGCAGGGCTCAGTGGCAGAACACGTCTTGCTTCTTCAGACTAAGACACAAAAGCTGTTAGGACCACATGACTAGCTGATGATGATTGTGTAGAAGCCTAGTCATGATCCAGGTATGAACAATCATTGATCGTTGCTGCAGTTTAACTCTAGAGACCTGTGTAGCTTCAGAATTATGAGTAACTTGAAATATTGAAAACAAATGTTTTCAAAAAGTCTTTTTTGTGTTAATAGTTACGCTATATGGTAGCTGAGGGCAGAGCTATAACAAAGATTAATTTACAGTTCACTGTTGTGCTAGAACTTTTGGTTCAGCTTTAAGTATCTACTGGTAAAGGGAGGCAGCAGCTTCCTTCTTGCTACCTTTCTTTTGGCCAGTGACTCTTGAGCTTTTTCCTCTAAAAAGGCCTCACTTTCACAGGTGAGACTCCAGCCCAGTTGCAGCCCAGTGATGAGAGAGTGACTGGCGAGCAGAGGGTCTAGAATTCAAGTTCCTCCCCTAAATAAGTGCCCCTGAGCCAACTGAGTGCTGGTGCTGCTGCTGCTGTCCTCTTTGTCTCACAGCAACCAGAGGTACCACCTGGGGTGGTCAGCTCTCGACAGAGCTTCCTAGTGTGAAGCTTTCAGCTGGGTGCCCACATTTAATGTTTTGTTTTGGCAGGCTCCTTGTTCACTGTGAGCAAACATCAAACCATTCTACAGAAGCAGATTTTTTTTTTTCCATATGCTCTTTAGATATACCTACCTCCTCTCCTTTGATCTAATGGAAAGGCCCAGCATCTGTCAGGCACAGTGAAATTGTTCTGCTAAGCCATACAGTTTTAATTTGATTACTGTTGTAACCAGATAATTTGGCAAAGGTGGTCTGAGTGCCACCTGTCTTCCCCCTTGTATCCAATGTCATTCTGCTTTTTGGGCTTCCATCTTCTCAAAATGGCTGCTGATAATGCAGATGAGTAAGAACTGCTTATCCCAAACCAAAAGACCAGAATCCAAATTCCTCATGAAATTTTTGTCTGATTGCAGTTAAACCATATATATCTCTAATAACAAATATTGAGGTACTTGACACTTATAAAGGAAAAAAAGCTTTCCTATTTCATAATTCTCAAAACCAAAAAAGACCTAAATTTGCTTTTGTGCTCTGTGAAGAGCAAAACACCAAATTCTGTATGGAGCACATACATCATCCTGACGTGATCAGAAGCTCAGCTGTTGAAAGAAGAATTGAATCTTGAAATGGCAACGTGCAAAAGGAGTGACAAAATTAACTGCTGACATAATCGCTATTGATAATACTTAGCTCTGTGAATTACTGGAGTTGGAATAAAGACATTGTATATCCATTTACACTTTCTAATGTACTTCTGAATTCCCTAGGAAATCTATCCAGGACAATTCCAGCCATCTCTCTGTCACAAGTTCATAGCTTTGATGGATAAAGAAGGAAAACTACTTCGCAACTACACTCAGAACATAGACACGTTGGAACAGGTTGCAGGAATCCAAAGGATAATACAGTGTCATGGTTAGTGATTTTAGTTTCACTTATTTTATGTGTAGGAATGATTTTTATTGGTACATGTGACAAGGTAATCACTAGTGGAATTAATTTTTTTTCTTTAATTGGTATCTCTTGGCAACAGATATTCTGCTTTTAAAATGTTGACTTTTTTAGGTAGCTTAAGTATTTAAATCAGAAGTGGAAATACTTCTTTTAGAAACGATGTTTGATTAACAGTGGTCTTTGTGTATCAGTGAAGATACACACCCTGTTCACACAAGCTTAGACCTTAACTTTTAAAATGCATTTGGTGCTTCTTTATATTCATGTATGAGAACATAGCATGGAAATCAGCCTTTTCATAGGTCCTTCTCACTGTCTGTCAATGAAATGCAGTTTGGCTGTTATCTGATTCTTTATTTAGAATATATTCATTGAAGTCTTAAAATATCCTGACACTTCAATGACTTTACCTCATGTATAAAAAATTGTGGATGAATCACCAGTTCAGTTCAGTTGAACTGAAGATCATCTTGTTACACCTTCAGTGTCATACACATTCTGTAATTATGATACCAAATTAAGTAGAATCTCTTAATTAGTTGCTTGATAGGCTTTCCATTTCCAAGGACTTGCAAATGTCAAGCTAAAAGACCAAGGGTTCCTTTTAAAAGAAAGGACACAGAAAATTAGTTCTTAAAGTGCATATTTGGATCATTTAGTAGACTCCTGTCAAATAAATTGTTTAAAAGCAGTGTTGGCATGTTTGTAAGACCTGTCTGTCTTAATTCTGCCTTTTCCAAGGACCAAACTCACTTGGTTCCCATATCTACAATGCTTAGCTCAGTGCTAGATTTGTCAGTTTTCTTTATTTAGACAGAGCAAATGTGGTGCTCTCTCACAGTGACCAAACAGCTCAGAATAAAATCCTACCCAAATCTAGTGCTAATTTCCATTTGTGCTTAGTGTCATGCATTTTTGTTTGGTTGTCATTCTGTATGAAGAATTTATCATTAACTACTTACCTAGTTGTGTTTTTGCACATTGCGGCCACATTCAAGCTTCCCATTTTTTCAGTTGCACACTACAGTAATTAGATTTCAGGCCTTCTTTACTGATATGTGTCCTGTATCAGTTGATTTTAATTTTTTTTTATTATTTTTAAAAATGCTGTGGACTTTGAGGCCTTTGGAAATTAGCAATGCTTGTTTCAAGCATATCAGGCTTTATCTGACATACAGTCATGCTGCTCTCTAACAAATGCTAGTTGACTAATGTTAGTGGCTACAGAGAAACTGAAACCCTGTTATGGAAGGGTTCATACTGCTGTATTTATTCTATCTTTTTTGTCTAGCTGCAGCAGTGGCAACTTAATCATGAGTGTGCCAAATGACAAGGAACCTTGTAATGTTTTGGGGAGTTCATATACAAACCTTTGAACCCATTTCACCTTGCAGACCTACAGTAAAGTTGCTACTCTGAATACTACTGTATCTTGGGTGCATTTTCTGAATTTAGAATGGCTTTTGCACTCAGCCACCACGTCTGGAATTAGATCATATTCCTTGCCATTGCTGTTGCTGAATGATCAGAGGCAGTGGCCTAGTGGCTACATGACTCCTGCATGGGGCAGCATAACTTTTTGATCAAGTCCTTCTGACAGTGAAAAACAACTCACATAATAGAGTTGTTGCAAGCAGGTAGCAACAGATGCCTCAGACAGGGTTAGCTCTGCTAGCCTAACAGACATGTCCCTAAAGGCCTACATTATTACTATAACTATTTATAATGAGCAAATAGTAACTGTCATACTTCCTGTAGTCTTTGGAATCCCTCATGTTCTGGGAGTTGCAATGCTGAGCAAGTGTTTCAGAGGCTGTGCACCTTCCACACCAGCACTGATTAGCAGACTTGAACTGTCAGTTTTCCATAAGTGATCTCCAAGTTTTCTGTGCTTTCACTCTGTTTTACCCAGACACAATATCCCCAAAGCATATTTTGATGTTGTACTTAGTCCTAGAATCTCTTCATTTAGCAGTGTAAGTGTTGGTTGGCTGCTGTGCATAGGTTATGAGCAGAAAATAGCTTTGAGTGGCTTAAAATAATATTCCAGATAAAGTTTCACTACCAGAGGTTTTTAGCTGTTCCTATCTTCTGCAAAGCTTTCAACATCTTAATGGTTACCTTTCTAAAAGTTTTCTTTTGGAGGAGACTTTCGTAGCACCCTTACTCAGTCACAGGGCTTTCTTACTGCCCTTGTATCATCATCAGGAATTAGAGAGCTTTAGACTTTTACTCTATGAGTGGCACATTCCAGTGCAGGGCTAAAAAGTCTCCAAATTTTTTTTTTATTTTTTTTTACCCCTTGTTTCATGATTAGGAGAAATAATGTCTTTTTTTTCACTTCATTTTTCAGCATTCTGTCAACTTCTAGCAGTATTCCTTCCGCAGATAAAAGGCCTTGCAGGCTTCTCTCTCCTGGACCAAAAAAGCCACTCAAGTTTGCCCACAATGACTTCACACTGTATATTTTCATGTGTGTGTTAGCCAGCTGATAAGATTTCCCATTAGACAGCTAGAGACACCAATGGTCTACCAGATACCTGGGCGTCACCTTCAGCTGCTTCAGGAACAGGCCAGTTAGAAATACCAAGTGGCTGGATGGAGCAACCAACTTAACACAGTCTTGCCAAATAATAAACACCGTAGCTAAACTGGATACCAAGTTCAGAGCAGTATCTCAGTGTGAACAACATAGCTGTAGCTTCTCACTTCTGCTGAAAGGAACAGCACTGCTATTTAGCTGCCTATAGTGAAGTCTTTACTAATGCATTTTCTTAGTTTTTTGCTCTTTGATAACTATAGTTTCTTGAGTTTATGTTGGTTCATGTTCTGCTGCTGCTGTTTGCAGAGCTGTTGGGACTACTGTTAGTTGTGTAAAGAGGAAAAGGGAAGGTTCTGTTCTCACCTCCTTGTATATGCTTACACAGGTTGGGGGAATTAGAAGACACAGTACAATCTGTGTTGACCTGCATGTGGTATATCACTACTCCTAAAACAAGATTTCTGCTGACTAACATCTAGAATAACTACTTTTAGTACTACAAGTATCTTCTCTTAATTTTACATTTTAATGACTGATTTTTATAGCACTGAAACATAAGAGCCTTTGTGTCAAAACAGCTTGGGCAAAAAAAACCAAACGTGAATAACTGAAAATCCTTATTTCAACCATACGGGTTTTTCCCCTCAGGTTCCTTTGCAACAGCTTCCTGCCTGATCTGTAAATACAAAGTTGATTGTGAAGTTGTTCGAGGAGATATTTTCAATCAGGTAAAAAATTTATTTAACTCACTGCAGCTTTCTGATAAGTAATTCGCTCAAAACCACACCACCCTTGGATTGCTTAAAAGATCTGCTTTTAAAAGGCTACATATCTTTGCATGTATTTAATAAAAGTGCCTATATGTATTTTAGCATTTACTCTAGTATTTAAAAGTATACTCAAATACTATACTGAAAAAATCAGGTAATGGGAAAAAGCAGAACAAAACCACGAGAGTCCATTTTTAATGGCTCCTCTGAGAAAAGTAGAGGTTAAAATGGTAAGTAGCAAGTTGGATTTCTACCTGTTTTAATTTAATCTCAACTGACAGTCACACAGAGAAAGCGTTCTTAGCTATTTATAACATTGGTTGCTCTTTGAGCATTTACTTACATTGAAAATATGTTTAAACAGTAGATGATGCACGGAGAAATTGCTAACAACAGAGCAGCCTCTGAGTGAGGAAGAGGATCAAATGAGATGTCTGACATGTGCTTTCTACGACTTCTGAACTATTCTGTATTCTGAACTCCCCACATCTGGTTGTGAAGTGCCCCAGGGCCAAGGCAGGAGTTAGTTCTGCTCTGTCACAGCAGATGAACTTTGGGCTTGGTGGGACCCTCTTCGCTCTTCTTCCTCTTCTTTTGAAGGAATAGAGATGATGATTCTCTGATCAAAAACATCTTGTTTATACAAACGGAAGAGGACTCTTTTTCTGCAGGCTCATTTGTTTTTGAGAAACACTTAGATTCCACAGTTGCAACTTTAGATGAGAAACATGGAAGGGATGTAAATCTTTCAAGTATTACATTTGGAATGGAACTTGATGAAAGCCTTTCAGAAGAGATGTTTGAGTTAAAGCTTTAAGAAATGTGAACCTCATAAGCCTGAAGCTTTGTAACACTGAAATATGTAATGTGAAAACTGGTTTACTTTGTTATTAAGATTAGTGTTTTCAAGAACTTTTTATCTTACAGATGTTTGTGGCTCCTTTACCTTCAAAGCCAGTTGGTTGGAGTTTAGATTTTTTTTCCCTTTTAAACAACCATTCCTAGGCATTCTGTAGTTTTCCATTTTGATTGTTAGTGGCCAGGACTCCTTTTCCTAAATCCACTTTAATCATTGTACATTCAGATGTTGAACCAAACTTCTGCCCTGATGGCCCATCCCTGCTGGTGGTCAGTAATGGAAGCATGGGGAAGTGGAGGGAAGTAGCCTGTAGCAATACTTCTGAATAATGAGAACAAAGAGGGTTCTTACTCCCGAGATGAGACTGAAGGAGCTTTTTACACTCAGTCTCTCAGCCCTAATCTTACAGTACTATTGCCAGGTGTATTTTACCAGGGCAGGCCCTACCTGTAATGCTGAGTTATTTTTAGACTGCAACATAAATATGGTTATTGCCAAATATAACTTCACACAAGAAACAGCGCTACTGAAGGAAAGCATACCCTTCCTTCTTTAGGCTTCGAAAAATAATTGTTCTATTTGCCATTATTATCTTTATTCCATAGCCTGCATTTCCCAAACCAGCACTATGCAATTTCTTTGTTTGTTGCCTCTCTAGAATACAGAATTTAGTTCCTTAGATATCAAAAGAAACCTTTTCTGTACTTACGGAACAAAGCAGTGTCCATTTCAACAGCTTTGTTCTCTAACAAGTCCCCTTTCATAAAAACAGTTTTGTCACTTGGGTCCCAACAGATTGTCCAGTTTCTAGTTTCTGCTGTCCTCCACTGTTTGAAAGTTCAGTTATACATGGCCCCAAGGTCCTTAGTTTCCCCTGAAAATACTACTTGTCCTTTGCTCTGGTCCCTCCCCTGGTGGTCATAAGTTCTTCACAAGGAAGTGAGTCTCGCTTTCATCTTTCCACCAGGATTTCCTTTCAACATTTTATAGACTGAGAATTGTTTGAGATAACCTGTTTAGAAAACCACCACTTGATTGTGGCTGCTCTTCATTCTTTTGCCACTTCCAAAATAACTTGTTAGTTCCCTATAGCATGATTCTTTCTCTTGGCTGCTGTACACAACCATCCTTGTGGATGAGAAGCAGCAGCAGTTACAAATCACACAGATAGAACTTCTGAGTAAAACAATTGTCAGTCACTTCCAAAAAAAAGCACTTTTACTTTGCTCTTGACTATTTTGGGCAGCTTCAAGAAATAGTGAAAGGGTCTTGGATTTAGGAAGAAAAGGCCTAAGAAACAGAAAACATGCACCAGTTCTTGGCTATTCTTAAACCAATGTAATCTTTACTATTCTTGTTTTTGATATATGGATAACATCAACAGTCAATGACAAATTCCATTTTTCTTTCATTAGACAAATCCATCAGCAGAGGTGGTGGGGTTTTGGGGGAGTGCTACTTCTGGAAGGAAGGAGGACCCTACGCAATTGAGTGGCCAATTATCTAGCTTTAACTTCTTGGTATCAATTTCAGCTCTTGGAATAGATCTTCCCCCTTACTGACGACTTTTCTGAGGATTAGCAGAGAAGCTGGTGAGTAGTGTAGTGTTGAAATGCATTTATGGGCCCATTACAGTGACTCGGATGATTTGGATAGGGATATCAGTTGCTCTACAGAGATCTATTAAGTCAGAAGTCATTTGACTTCCTATGAGAAATGATGGAAACAGAGTTGATATTACTTAGTCTCTTTAAATCAGAAGTTAGAGGTCTTCATTTCATCTTCCTCCTAATACAGAGCAAATTATTTTCCCTCCTTAAGCTTCCAACTGAAGTACAAGGACATCACTGACATCAGCAGAAGAGACAGCAGGGTAAAAAGCTTCAGAAAATGTTAGGCTGTTTGTGTGTTATGAGCTCTCTTTCTAATACATAAAGATCTGAGAAAAAAAGTTCAAGATTCATTCTACCCATCTGCTCCTTTTTGGGGAATTCTGTAGTTGGTTTCCCTTCAGTGTGCAGTTACTAGATGCTGTTTAGCTTGGGTACATGGTGAGGCTTTCCTCCAGATCAGTTCCTAGTTCTTGTGCCATATTGCTTCTTGCACATCCCTCCCATAAGGTTTTCTTCAAAGAAGGATTGGATTCTGTGTTCAAAGACTTTAAATTTTTGGCAAAAGTCCTTTGACACTAGAGGAAGGCCTTTCACTTGTGATATTTTCTCATATGGAAAGCATTCTCTCTTGTCCTACTGCAGACATCCATGAACTAGTTCTTTGATTTAAACTTTCTAAGTTCTGTATTATTTTTTCTCTGTATATTTTGTCTACAAGAGGGGGTTGTTATGCATTTAAATGTCAGTTTTCATCTATTTTCCTGTTACAATAGGTAATATATATCTCTTTATACCTTCACATAGCACTAATTTGCTTGTGATGACTGCTATAGGATTGCAGCTACATTTAGCCCCTTAGATTTATTCTGGGGTATTGTACTTTAACACTAGAGCTGAAGAGACTTGAACTACTCAAAAGAAAAATTGCTCGGTAGTAATTGAAGCCTTGTCTGCATACATTCCTCATCTTCTTTTCTTCTGTGAAAAAGTCTTAAGAAAGTTGAAAGAGGTCCCAAAGATCAGAAAATTCTTTGGTTTCAGGGGGAAAGGGAGCCAACTTCTACACAAATGTAACTCTTGTCCACTTTTTTTAGTGAACAAGGATTCTGCTCTGTTTTTGGAGGAATTGGAGAAGTTTAAAATGGAGACCAAACAAAAGTTCTTTCCCTGTACGTTTTTTTGCTAGCCACCTGCTACAGTGCCATGTTGCTTGATGTGTGTAACACACATACCCTTTGGAGGAGAAAGTAGAGAGGTAAAGCTCTAGCATATACTCTCTGATTAGGGTTTTATATCAGATCCTATAATGGAAACTGACAGCAAAATCTAAGATTTTGCTCTGATTAAGCCAAGAAAAATATATTCCTATCAAGTAGGAGGTAATTACCCACTGGTGCCGAGCATGACTTCTGGACTTTGGCTTAGTCATCAGTTAAGAACTGTGGTGTAGATCTGTGTGCTTTCTCCCTTTTTTATTTAAGAGGACTCCCTCTTTATTCCTACTGTCGTTTTATTTCTGTGTGCAGTTGCTGCAGGCTGGAATAAGAAATGTTCTTGTCTGTGTTCCCACAGAAAAATGAAATGAGGAAATATCCCTGAAACTTCCTTATCTTTTGCCAAAATAAGTCACCATGAATTGCTAAAATCTGATGTTCTCAAGGGCGCAGCCTTGAATTGTAGTAACAGAAGCTGTTCTAACACAGGTTGTACCTAGATGTCCCAGATGTCCAGCTGATGAACCACTTGCTATCATGAAGCCAGACATAGTGTTCTTTGGAGAGAACTTACCTGAGCAGTTCCATCGCGCCATGAAGTACGACAAAAATGAAGTTGATCTCCTTATTGTCATTGGGTCATCACTGAAAGTAAGACCAGTAGCGCTGATTCCAAGTAAGTTACTATCTCTGGTAATATTTTCTTTGCAAAATTTGGATCAAAAGTGAAATTCTCAGTTAAGAGCTTCAAGAAAAGCTTTTGGCTTGATTCAGTGAAGAAACTTGATTAAACACCTAATTTTCTAAGATAAAAACTGGTTGCCTATATGTAAAGCTGAAATGCAAGATAGAGAAAGTAACAAATTCTAAATTCTTTTTCTGCACTCCAGGCAGATCTCAGAGTAATGAAATGATAATCTGAAACACTGCTCTCCTAAAACTTAAATTACTTTGTTCTGAGATTCAACTGATTTCTCTCCCTGCTTGCACTATGCTTTCAGAGTTACTTGAAAGATACAGAAAGGATCAAAAAATCAGATCAAGTACATCAGGTGTCTGAGTTGTAGCTTATTTTAAAGTCAGTAGTTAATACTAAATGCTATGCAGTGTGCCTTATATAGCGTGTGACCATCTGGACCCGTAACTTTTAAAGGTGATATGGAAAAACATCTCTGCTAATATACATTATAGAAAAATGCCCTTCAGGAGGGCTGATAAAATACCGTAACAGGTGATTTATTTGCCTGAGTGCAGGACTTAGTGGTACTACGGAAATTCTCTCCCATGTTAGCCTGAGAAGGATGGGCTTAGCATCTGTGATGAACTGGGAACAGTGCTGCATCCACAGCCTTTGTAAATAACACCCTCTTCGCTATGCGAGAGGCAGAACCTAGCGTGTAAGAATCGGAAAGTTAGGGTCCACTACACAAACCACTGCTCCTTCTGTCCTAGAACTGGATTTCATGTGTTGGTTACCTGAGGAACCAATGTTAGGTTACCAAATCGGTGGGTTTTGGAAGCTTAAATGTCAGAAGTGGGTTGAGCAAGCCTGTACAGTGTAGATTGTCCCTGGAAATATAATGACCTAATTAATGGGATGTCATTTACTCACAGCATATTCTTCACATGCACTTAAGTACATAAAAATGAATGCAGAAAACCAACATAAGTCTTCTAAGAGATTATAGTACTAATTTTAATATTCTTTTTAATACTTGACCAAACATTGCTGTAGTCAGTATCATGAAGCCAGACATGTGTTTCTCTGTGATAGAGGAACACTTTTTACTGAAAAAAAATCTGGCTAGGTTACAGTAGGCATAGCACCTCACACTGCTGCTTTTAAATTTGAGATTTGCTTCTCTGCTTCCTGATCTATTTTGGTCTTGTTGCAAGTGAACGTATGAAGAGAAATTTGAGGAATCAAACTTTCTTGGATCTCTGCTGAAAGTGAAACTGAAGTGACTACCTTTAAATTCTCTTCTCTGTATATAGGTTCCATCCCCCATGAAGTGCCTCAGATCTTAATTAATAGGGAACCTTTGCCTCATCTACACTTTGACGTGGAGCTTCTTGGAGACTGTGATGTTATTATTAATGAATTATGTCAAAGGCTAGGTAGTGAATATACAAAACTTTGCTACAACTCAGTAAAACTTTCAGAAATAACAGAAAAGCCTCCACGAACGCACAAGGAGCTCGAAATGCACTCTTCTGAGCTACCGCCTACCCCTTTAAACATTTCAGAAGACTCTAGTTCACCAGAAAGAATGACTCCACCAGATACTGCAGTAGCATCTTCAGAACACCCAGCTGAATGTAAGGTAGAAAACTCCAATCTTGCCTCAGAAACAAAAGGGACCTGCCCAGAGGAAAAGGTTCAGGACACACAAACAGCATCAGAAAACCCTGAAAATCCTACTAGTGAGTTAATGAACTCTGAAACAATGAAGGAAAATGGATCTAACAGTGGAGAAAATAAAGAAAAAAATGAAATACTGAAGAAATGCTGGGTAAACAGATCTGCAAAAGAACAGATTAGCAAAAGGCTGGATGGTAAGTGTTTACTCATTTCAGTATTTTGCTTTTTTGGCCAAGATGCTTATTCTAGACTTACTTTAAAGCAATAAATAAGTTACCCTTGAGGGCATCAGTGGGTTTTGGTGGTTATTTTTGTTCAGACAAGCATCTACATAACTCATCATTATATAATTTATTTCTTTCTGAGAAGCCAATAGGAAAACTTTTTATAATCCGTAATAGGTTTTATAATCAAGTGATGACATACTCCCTAAAAACATCAAAGTTTAGGAAGTTGGAGGTAAGTATCAAAAAATAACTCAGTTTCTAACATTTTCAAATGCATTTTCAGAAAAATTAGTTTGATCCTCAGGTGTTAAGCAGCTGGTCGCTCTAGGTCATAGTTTGTTGTGGCAGCTCTCTTGTAGAACGGAATGGCGAAGTCATGGTAGGAGTTGAAAAGCAAATCTCACAGCTGGGCCAGGCACATTTTGAAGGAAACTTTATAGACTTTCCAAGGAAGTTTTCCAGTATGCAGCCTCTCAACCGTCGTAATGAGTTCATCCACGCTGGTTTTCTAGTGTGGTAAGAACCAGGTATTAAATTGCAACTTTCTAAAGCGGAGGCTGTTTTTACCTTTGTCAAACACTCTGTGCAGTGGGTTCCCATTCTGTTACAAGTCATGGAAACGTAGCTGTGGATACATGTTCCAATGAAAAAACCTGCTCAAGTTTAAATGCTCTTTTGTGTCAAAAGGAGGGGGAGAAGGAATGCC